GCATCCAGGAATCCTTTCCCAAACCTTGTAAGAATTTTCTCCCTTTTTTAGGTAAGGGTTTGGTGTTAAAGCAGATCCCAGTCTTTCCTCTGCCACAGATTTCCGGAGTGTCCTCTGCTCCCGGTGCCATAACGTTTTCTCTACTCAGTCTTCTATTTCTGCTAAGGTTTTAATAAACCTTTGGACTTCTTTGGAAGTGAGGATTTCTCCCACAGGTGAGCTACGGAGCCAGCAGTGAGACCCTGAGCAACACGGAGCTGTACCCGTCCTTCTACCGCACCGTGTCCAGCGACAAGAACCTGGTGGAGGCCGTGGTGCTGCTCCTCAACCAGTTTGGCTGGAACTGGATTGCCACGGTGGGCAGCGATGACGAGTACGGCCGGGGGGCCCAGGCCCTCTTCCTGAGCATGGCCAGCACCAACAACATCTGCATCGCCTTCGAGGGGCTCATCCCTGAAGACCTGACCGAGCCTAATGCCAAAACGCAGCTGGAAAACACAATTAAAATAATTAACAGCACCAAAGTCAACGTCATCGTGTTGTTCGCGCACACCCCGGCAGCCCAGGCCCTGCTGGAGCACAGCATCAGGATGGGGCTGGGAAAGAAGGTCTGGATTGGCACCGAGGCCTGGATGGTGTCGGACATCCCCACCACCACGCCCAACATCCAGAGCGTGGGGACAGTGCTGGGCTTTGTCACCAAAACTGGGACGGTCCCCGGCTTCCAGGAGTACGTGGTCGAGCTCTTCCGCTCCGTCACTCAGGAGGAGTTCTGCCGGAGTTCCTGGGAGCTGAGCCGAAGCACGGACACCGAGGAGCTGGACACGCCCTGCCAGCAGTGTGGCAATGTCACCCTCGAGGACATCTGGCCCATGCTGGAGGTGACCACGGTGCAGCCGGTGCACATGGCCGTGTACAGCGTGGCCCACGCCCTGCACAGAGCTCTGGGCTGCACCTCCAAAGGCTGTCCCAAAACACCCATCAGGTCTTGGCAGGTGAGGGCAGATTTTTTGGTTTTTGTCATGTCACAGCCAGACTGGCGCAGTCTCAGCCCACCAAGGGACAGCTGATGTCAGCTTGCAGAATTGTCACCCTCCAAACAAGAACAACTGTACCAAAATCGATTTTGATTTCATTTCCTCCGCAGCTGCTGCACTACATGAACACCCTCCCGTTCGAGGTGAACGGCCAGAGCTTCAGGTTTGATCAATTCCACGGCACAAACACCGGGTACAAACTCATCCTCTGGGCCTGGAGGGACGGCACCGTGACCCACCTGCCCGTGGGGGACTATGACCAGTCCCTGTACATCCGTAAGTCCCAGATCCAGTTCCACACCGCAGATAAGAAGGTAAAAATGGCACAGTTCCTTCTGGTTTGTTGGAGATTCGTTCTCCTGGAGGTTCCTGGCTGATGTTCGTTCCTGCCTTTGCCAGGAGCCCACATCCGAGTGCTTTAAGCGCTGCCAACCAGGACAATTCAGAAGAATAAAAGGATTCAACCTCTGCTGCTATGACTGCACAGACTGCTCAGAAAACACCTTCTGGAGCAGCACAGGTGAGGTCTGGGCAATTTTAAGGCTGGATTATTCTGTCTCTTGGCTGAAGTGGTGATGAGCTGGGAGCTCTCCTCCACAGGCACTGCCAGGTGTCCCCTCCCTGTTCTGCTCTTCACTGGGGACCTGCCCTGTTGGGCCCAGAGGGAAGGAATTAGGACATTTATATTTTATCTGCAGAGCTAGGAGAGAAGGGTGTGATGGAATTCTGGGGCTGTGAGTAGAAGAGAGGCAGGGGATAAAATCCTGGGATGACTGGGGAAGGCAAACAGAGGCAAGAAATACAAGGATCCTTCGGGGATGAGGGTGGAAAAGCAGAGGGTGAACTACCACAAGCTTGGGAGGCAAAACACCACCCCAAGCAGCACCAAACCGCTGTGTGACCCACCAGCAAGGAGCTCAGCGGGCTCTCTTTGCAGACAGCACCAGCTGCTCCCCGTGCCCGCAGCACCAGTGGGCGCCTGCCCGCAGCACGCGCTGCCACGACCGCGGCGAGCGCTTCCTCTTCTGGGACGAGCCCCTGGCCGTGGCCCTGCTGAGCCTGGCGGCGCTGGCGGCGGCCCTGAGCGCCACGGCAGCGCTGCTGTTCCTCAAGCACCTGCAGACTCCCCTGGTGCAGCTGGCAGGGGGTGCCAGGAGCCTCTTTGCCCTGCTCTGGCTGCTGCTGCAGAGCCTCAGCTGCTGCCTGTACGTGGGCAGGCCCGGCGCGGCGCTCTGCTCGCTGCAGCAGCTCTCCTACGCCCTGTGCCTCAACGGCTGCTTCTCCACCTTGGTGCCCAAGGCCCTGGAGATCGCCCTGCTGACGGAATTCCCCCGCCGTGCCCCCGGGCTGCTGCGCTGGGTGACCCAGGGCAGGGCTTGGCTGCTGGTGGCCGCCTCCATGTTCACCCAGGCATTGTTCTGCTTGTGCCACCTCCGCCTGGGCCCTGACTACCTGGTGGCCGACTACAAGTCGCTGCCCAGAGAGGTGCTGCTGGTGTGTGGCACCCAGTCCTGGGCTGCCTTTGCCCTCCTGCACAGCTACAACAGCTGCTTGGCCTTCTCCTGCTTCCTCTGCACCTTCATGGTGCAAACCCCGGCCGGGAGGTACAACGTGGCCAGGGGCATCACCTTCGCCACCTTCATCTATTTCGTCGTCTTGATCTTCTTCCTGGTGATTTTCACCACGCTCAGGACGGTCCTCAGGGCCGTCACGCAGATTTGCACCATCCTGGCCACCACCCTGGGCATCTTGGCCAGTTTCTTCATCCCCAAGTGTTACATCTTGGTGTTCAGGCCTGATCTGAACACGGGGGATTATTGCCAGAACCCCTCTGAGGAGCAGCCAGAGCAGGACAGGCAATAAACCACCCCCTGCCTCACCTGCTCCTCACAGGAGGTGGATTTTAAGGAGAAAATCTTGTTTATGAGCACTCTGTGGCCCCAGGCACAATCAGCTCTGAATTGGAGCTGTGAAAGCACAGGGCTCAGCAGAGGAGCAGCCTCCATCCTCTCTGGAAGCACATTTCAGCCCCAAAAATCAGCCACAATTAGGTTCAGTTAATGAAAGAATCTCCAGAAATGGTATTTTACATCCATCTCTCAAATCTGGCAAAGTGAGTCACCAACACCACTCCCCTGTAAACACTTCTGGTAATTTCCCTTTTTTACTAAACAGCAGCTCCTGAGATAGATCCAGGAATCCTTTCCCCAGGCCTTGTAAAAATTGTCAAATCTGTCCAATAAAAGGGAAGTAGAAAGAACATTTGTGGCAGGTACCAGCAGCTGTGTGTGTGACACAAAGGGAGCATTACCCATTCAAATCCCAGCTCGCTCAGTTCTGCCTTAAACAGGGCCAGAGAAATCATAATTTATAAGAAAAAAAATCTCAATTAATTGAAAATCAGAACCACTAGTGATTGTCAGTAAATCACAGACTGCTCAGCAGTGTCTCCTGGAGACAGAACAGAATTCCACCACTATTTTACCCTGATTTAAGTGTCAATCTTTCAGAATAATTTCCCAAGTCAGGTTTGCATCTGGGAGGCGGAAGGAAGGAAAAGGGAAGTCCTGTTGTACAGTGATTTCCCATGGAAATCAGGGACAGACTCATGGAAATGAGCTCTGTGCAAATAACGCTCGGCAAAGGCAAAGCAGGAGGTTCCTCCCTCCCCAAAAACAGGCAAAAATCACCAAAAAGTTCACAAAAACTTCACACTTGCCAGGCAGAACTGAGTCAATGTCCAGTCACATCACCACGATTTTTCTTCTCCCCACTCATGCTGACAAGGAACTATTCTGCTCTTCTATTCTTTAAAAATTTTTCCATTTCTACTCTTTTATTCCCTAAATTTTTCCATCTCTCTACTGTGTGTTACTGGAATTTAAGCTCAATTTTAAAAATTGCAAATTAATCTAAACCAGTGATTATTTCCATTCTTAAAAAAAAAAAAAAATAAAGAACCTTTTGGTGCACTGCAAAGTTACTTGTCCCCATTTTTTGTGATTACCTCCATCCAAAATTATTCCTCAGTGTGATTAAAAAACCCAAAACTCTGACCTGGAGCCTGGAGTTCTTGTTCCTGGAGCCTGCAGGAATTCTTCACAACCACCTGAAATTCTCAGTATTCCTCCTCCAGGGCTGTGGTTCCATAGCAGAGAAGCATTAAATATCTTTTGATCATCATTCCAGAAATAGGGAAAAGAAAAAAATCTGATTTAACTCCACCAGGCCCTGCAGGAAATGGCTGTCCAAAATTCTGATCATTTAATATTCACTTAAATTCTGAGCATTTAATATTCGTTTAAATTCTGAGCATTTAATATTCACTCAAATTCTGACAATTTAATATTCACCTAAATGCTGACCATTTAATATTCACTTAAATTCTAAGCATTTTAATATTCACTTAAATTCTGATAATTTAATATTCACCTAAATGCTGAGCATTTAATAGTCACTTAAGTTCTGACCATTTAATATTCACTTAAATTCTGAGCATTTAATATTCACTAAAATTCTGGTAATTTAATATTCACTTAAATTCTGAGCATTTAATATTCACTAAAATTCTGGTAATTTAATAGTCACTTAAATTCTGAGCATTTAATATTCACTTACATTTGGATAATTTAACATTCACTTCACCTGCCCCTTTCATATCCTCCCCACTGGAAAATGTTGGGATCTGTGGCATTTAAATGATGTTTCACTCTCCCCTTGCTGTGTGATCTGTGCCAGCTGGGAAGAAGGAATCTGCCTCACCAACCTGTGCTTGTTCTTTTCCTTTAAGCTGGAAATTTAAAATAATTTAGGCTGGAAAAAACCAGGGTGTCCTGACAAACCCAAAAGTCTGCACAGGGTGTCCCAGTGATCCTTGTTTCTGCTGGAGTGTCCAAAAATGGGCAATATTGATGAATTAAATCCCAATGAAATGCTGCAAAGAACTGAACACATACACTGTGGTTATCACATAAAATTAAAAGCTTTTTAGTGTTTAAAATAGCATTTACACATAAGCAGCTATATATTAACTATACAGACACTTGGGTTTTAATACAATATCTACAAAAAAGAATTCAATTATGCAATAGACATTTAACAGGAACAGTGCAGTCCATGCTAATAAGAGGTCACTCTTGGAGTAGAACCAGTTCTAGGATAGGTGATAGTCTGGGTTTTCATTATTTAAAATCATGTCACTTTGTTCCTCTACTGTACATAAAATTTTTTACATGTATTTCTAATCACTGATTAGAATTAATAATTTTAAGTCAATCTTATTACAATCCAGTTAAATGCAAAACAAAACAAAACAAAAATCCAAAACAATTACATCAACCCATGAGCTGTCAAGTCTCAGGAGGGGAGAGAACAAAAATCAGAGAGGACAAAAATCATAGCAAAAATCAACATCTGTGCATCATTGCTTGCCATCCAATAAAACCTTTGGATAAAGTGTCCAGGGCACTGATTCCTTGGAAAAGCAGATTTATTAACAGGAGGTAAAAGACACACCAGCATGCTTTTAAGACTATTTGCCATAAAAATTTCCTCTTCAGGGTTCAAATATTGGGTGGAGACACTCCCCCTGCAGATTCTGCCTCTTGGGGTGGGAAAAGTCACCCCAAAGTGTTTCCTCCCCCTTTTCCAGGATCCCCCAGACATCCATCCCTGCTGCAGGGAGGGTGAGCACTGAGCTCAGCTGCAGAATAAAAATTCCTGCATTTTAAAAAGCAATCCAAGAATTACTTTAGTCCAATTCCTTTGGGCTCCTGTTCTGAGGGTGTTCCCATGCCCTGCACAGCAAAGCTCTCCCTGGAGCCATTCCATCAAAATTTAATTTCAGAATTCAAGAAATGCTGGGTCTGCAGCACTCCAGCCTCCAAATTTCCTTCCCCCTGGCACAATTCCCACTGTGGGCACAGTTCCTGCAGGGAATGCTGTGCCCAGCAGGGCAAAGCTGGAAAGTCACAAAGGATGGAAGCCAAGGATGGGATTTGGGAAATCTCATTTTTCTTCCCTCGAGGAAACAGATCTGGCAGAGATTCAGACCTGACCTTCAGCCCAGCCTCTGCACAGGGAGGGAAATGCAGATTTTTGTGTCACTGCTCAATATTGCACTGTTCCAGAGGGGCAATGCTCCCTCCTTTCCCTGCAGTGGGGGAAGCTCCTCCAGCCTCATTTCCTCAACAAACAATTCCCACATCTGCTGGGGACTCACAACCTCGTCCAGGGCGACCCACGAGCACACACATTAAAAAAAAAAAAAAAAAAAAGTAATTTTTCAACATAGCAGCAAAGACCAGCAAGACACAGAACAGTTTCTGCCAACAGCAAAACCACGAGACAAAACCAAACCCCCAGCAGGTGTGTAAACTGCAACGCTTGGAAATTAAACATTTCCAAGTGAAAAAAGTTCAGCTCCCAGCTTTAATCCCCTTTTTGGAAACATTAAAAGGAGATTTTTTTTTTTTTAAACTCCAGCTCTCTGAGTTCTGCCTTAAAACAAACAGGGCCAGAGAAATCATAATTTATAAGAAGCCAGAAAAAAAATCTCAATTAATTTAAAAGTAGAACCACTAGTGATTGTCAGAAAAGTCACAGACTGCTCAGCAGTGTCTCCTGGAGACAGAACAGAATTCCACCACTATTTTACCCTGATTTAAGTGTCAATCTTTCAGAATAATTTCTCAAGTCAGGTTTGCATCTGGGAGGAGGAAGGAAGGAAAAGAAAACTCCTGTTGTACAGTCGAGCTTTAGGCAGGGCCTCTTTTGGAGCCATCCATAGGTAGTGATGAAAGCTCTGCTTTCAGAAGCCTTGGGCAGCTTTTTTTGGGGGGAGGTTTTAGTAAAGAAAATTAATTTAGAAGGCCAGAAATGGGCTGAGTGAGAGTTTCCCAAATTCCTGGCTCCCTGTGGAAGGAGAAATTGAGTCTCCCATTCCCACAGACATCTGGAGTCTCTGACAAAGGGAGGTGGGAAAAAGGAAAGAAGTGAAAAATCAGAATGAAATGGACATTTTGTGAGTCATTTTGGCTATTTACCCAAAAAGAAGCTTCTTACCAGTGAAGAAAATTCTTATTTACAGTAAAAAACTGATTTTAAAGCACCTGTCCTAAATCCTGCCAGCTGTAGGGATCTCACAAAAGAGGATTTAACTGAGGAATGGCCCCATGGTCAAATGCCAGAGCAGCTCCTGGCTCATTAAATGAGCCACATGGGAGCATGGCTGTGCTCACAATACCTTAAAAAAGCTTCTTAAGCATCCCTGAAGCTGCTGGAATTTACTTTTACAGCCTCAGAGCAGAAAACAGCCAGAAAGTAAATCCTGGGGATATTCGACAGCAGAGCTCCTCTGCAGGAGGAGGAGTCAGGGCTTTGTTTTTGAGAATTTGAAAAGGATTTCTCTGTGAGGAGCTCCAGAGTGGCTCTAACTCAGAGTCAGGGTAAGGATTTATTTTTGGGGAGCTCCAGGGTGGGTCTAACTCAGTGTCAGGGTAAGGATTTCTTTTTGTACCATTTCTGGTCTGTTCCCAGACACCCTCACACCTCTCTTCCACTGTGCTCAGAAATGTTCCCTGGGGGATCAGACATCTCCAGGTCTCTGTTTCAACAAAAAAGAGAAAGATTGTGCTCAGAAAGGAAGGAGGGATCACAGAGAAGAGCCACGTCCCAGTGGGAGCCAGGATTTCTCTGCTGGAATGGGATAAAGAGCCCCTTCAAAAGGGCAGAGCTGACAGAACTGCAGCCATTCTCCTATTTCTGTGGGAATAACTCTTCCAACCTGCAAGCAAGTGCACATCAGAGGGAACAGCCACACCTGGCAGCAGGGATGTGACTGAAATGCCCAGGAACCGAGTGCAGCTGGAAAATCACTCTTGGGAAATAAGGAAATAACTGAAGGAAACAACTTTACAAGTTCTGCACAATGAACACATACAGTAGCAAGACTCCAGCACTCCCTTGATAGAATATCTCAAAAAAAAGCCCCTTAAAGAATCCAAAAAAGATTGATTTATACTGCCTAGTCAGCAGAAAGTAGCCACAACTTTGTTTTCCTCTAGGAATTGGTTGGATCCTGCTCCTTTCCAAGCACTTGTGGGTGCCACGTCTGCTTAGAGCTATGGATGCATCCAAAAATCAGCATTCCAAGGCAGTATCCCAGATACCAGCCAGCAGTCCTTTTGTCCTTGCAAGAGAAAAAGCAGGGGAAAAAAAAAATCAAAGTGCTCCTATGCATTGTCAGGAATTTAGAAGTCATGTGAAATACCAGTCCTGCATTCAGCCCAGCAAGAGACACTAATTCCACTGAAGTAGGTGCCACAATGACCAAAGCTCATCAAGATGTGAATATACACCAGCCATCCACGATCCAAAACGAGATGGGGAGGGGAGAAAAAAATAAACATAACGAAAAGATGCCGTCGATTTGCTGATATTTAACAATCCCAGGAGATTTTGTTGTTCATTTCTGTAGGCCAGGGGGGCGGGGTTTGTATTTTTTTTCCTTTTTTTTGTTGAGTTTTGCCGATTTTTTTGCTGTTTCGTGTGACGCGCTGGCGAACAGAAAGGTGTGACATGCAAGACAGCCAAGCCTCTTCCAACTGAGCGCCCCACAACCCACCCACTAAAAACAAAAAAACCAAGAGTCTTTTGAAGGCACTTCCTCTCACATGATGTCCACGAAGAACTCGCAAGGGTTGCCCATGGCCTTCTGGAAGGACTGGCGGCTCCCGGTGAGCTCGGGCGGCACGGCGCTCAGCTCGCGCACCGGCGGCGCTCCGGGCGGGCCGCTGCTGCCCAGCCCCTTGGAGCCCAGCTTGGGGAGGCTGTACAAGGGGGGCAGCCCCGGGGGCCCGTAGGAGTGGTGGCTCTGGTGGCTCCTGTCGCTGGCGGAGCGCTGGCTGAGCTGGCTGAGCGGCCGCTCGCGGCGCGCGCCGGGCTCCGACTCGCTGCCGCTGCCCCCGGACTTGCGCTCCTTCTCCCTGCCCGCTCCTCTCCTGCTGGTCTCGCTGGTGCTCCGGTTGGAGCCGCTGCTTTTGCTCCCTGCCGGCCCAAAAAGGAGAGGGGAAGGATGAGCTGGGCTCCGGGGAGGGTCCCGCGCGCCGGTGTGAGGGATGTGCCATGGTGGGGACACACGGACACGGCCCCAAGCAAAAGCAGCGGCTGCGTTCCAGCTCCGGGCACAAATCCAGCCCAACGGGAGGGAGGGGAGCAGGGAAAAGCAGGAATTTGGGGTTTGACTCAAGCAAATGAGCTTTAATTGTAATTGGCTCTGCTTTATTGTGTGCCTTTTCCAAAAGAAACCCCTTTGCCTTCGCTTTCACCTGTAAATACCTGAGGTTTTGTTGGCTTCAGTGGGGAAGTCCTTTTAAAATTACTTTTCAAATTACTTTTTCTGAAAGAAACCCCTTTGCCTTCTCTGTTACTCATAATTCCCTGAGGTTTTGTTGGCTTCAGTGAGGATTTCCTTTTAAAATTACTTTTTCTGAAAGAAACCCCTTTGCCTTCTCCGTCACCTGTAAATCCCAGATTTTGTTTGCTTCATTGGGGAAGTCCTTTTAAAATGACTTTTTCCAAAAGAAACCCCTTTTGCCTTCTCTGTTATCCTTAAATCTCTGAGGTTTTGTTGGCTTCACTGAGGATTTCCTTTTAAAATTCCTTTTAAAATTACTTTTTCCAAAAGAAACCCCTTTGCCTTCTCTGTCAAAACCTGATTTTTTCAGGAAGCTGAAGGTTTTGCTCTGTTCCCATGACAGGTTAGGAGACAGTTCCAAGCTAATTATTTTTTTTAAATCCAACTGATCAGCCTAAGGAATATCCCATTAAATTCATGCACCGTAGTGCAAGATGGACTTCCCAAAAAGGATCCTCAAAAAGGATTCCCAAAAAGGAACAGAGGACCAGCTTTGGAGTCTAAATAAGCCACAGAAATGGGAAAACCAGAATTATTTTGGGCTGCTCCTTTTTGAGATGCCATCACTTCCTGCTGCTCCAGCTGACTGGAGAGTTGGGAAACCAGACTGGATTTTGGGGGGAAAGGCTGAATTTTCTGCAGAGTGCCAGAGAGATGGAAAACAGACCACAAAACCACTGGATTTTAAGTGAATATTCCAGGCCTGAGTCTCTGAAGTGGTATTTGCTGATTGTTGTGATTTATGAATGAGAGAGGGCACAAAACTCCAAATTTAACACTATTTTGAGAGTGAGCAGTGTTCCAACCCCTGCCCGAGCCACCTGGCCACCAGTAAATGGGCAGTGGCAGAGAAATCCAACCCAGAGGGCTGACACCATAATAAATCTGGATTATTTCTTTTCTGGAGAGCCTGGGGATGGGCTTTTCCCACCTGATTCCCTCCCCTCTGAGCTGCTGCAGGTTGATATGCCAACATCACACCACTGTACACTGAGACAGGTCGAGCGCCCGAGACAATTTAAAACAAAAACAAAATTTAAAAGTAAAACAAAAACCACCAAAATACAGCTAAACACTTGGGTCACAAGAATCTAGAAATGGTCATGCTGTGAATTCATCATGGAGGCATTTGAAGCTTACCAATCCCCTAGAGTCAGCCATTCCTCTAGGAATCCTTCAGTCTAACGCTTGCTCAGGACAAAACAAGGGAATAACAGTTACAAAGCAAGAAACAGCACAGAAATTGCTCTCCACGAGGAAAAGCGTGGAAAACTTTCAGAGCTGAACAGCCTGGCACTTTTTGGGAGGCTCTCCACAGCATGGACAAAACACCTTTCCTTTCCTATTCCAGCAGCAGGCAGAGAATTCCTACTGCTCACAGAAGCTGCTGCCAAAAAAACACCCCCGGCCTTCTGTCCAGGGCAATCAGTTTCCCGTTCTAAAACCTCCGTGAGATTCCTCGTGGATATTTCTTATTTTGGGATAAGGTGAGAAGCAGCTGGGTTAAAATCCCGAGAGCAAGCTCCTGTTATGAAACCCTTTTGTGCCATTTTGTAAAATCTGACTGGCTGTGCTGAATGGGGATAAGTGACATCTAATTTATTGGATGTCCACTAAAAAACACAAGGAATCCTCAGCCCTTCTTTACTGGCAGCATTTGTAAAAGCAAAACTCACTGTGGGAGTGATTCTTTTAAAAAACTTAGTTAAAAAATAGTATCTGTACAGCCAAAAAATGGCATTATTTTATTTGCTAAGGTTAAAAATGAATCACAGCGTTATGCTAGGGCAGAAAAGGAGCAGGGCAGGTCTTTAATCCATGCAGAATTCTCTTCCTGCCCGTCACACATGCCAGCAGAGACTCTCCTCCCTGGAGCAGTGTTTCAGCCCTGGAAATCCCTGGCTGGCCACCTCCCACTTACAAAAAAAAGTGATTTTCCTTTTGTGCTGAGCACTGCTGTGAAAGCCAAGAGCAGCTTGGTTCTAACCCCTGTGCCATCAGCACAGAAATGGCCTCATTTCCAGCACACCAACCCCACTGCTGGCAACTCCTGACCGGGTTAAGCCTGGCAGGTCCCACAGAGAGCTGAAAGCCAAACCCATCCTCCAGAGCCACAAACACCTTGGATTCATTGCACAAAATCCATGCAGGGAGCAACCAAAACCACGAGACAAGCACGAGGAACTCAAGCAGATGGGTGGGGGGGAAGTGAGAGTTGTGGAATTCAAACCATTTATCCCATCTTACCTTCACTTTGCTGGCTGCCTGCACTGCCACTGCCATAGCTAAAGCCTGGGTCTTGGTAGGCTGGTGGGAAACAAGGAGGGGGCAGAGGATACTGGTAGGGATATCCTTGGCCCAAGGGCCAGGGAGCAGCGGGGTGTGGCAGTGGAGCCAGGGTGTCCTGGTCCGAGGCGCCGCTGGAACCGTTGTTGAGGTTCAGTGCAGCCAGATCTGGGAAAGAAAAAAGGGAAAAAAATGTTTCTCACCCAGCAGGTAAAATGATCACCTGTGAGTTTATTTACAGAGGTATTTGAAGCTTAGCAATGACCTGGGATCAGACTTCTCACCCAGCGGTGAGAGGTGAGAAAAGAGGGAGGGCTGGGTGAGGACAGCCCCCTTTTCCAGGCTGGAAACTGAGTGGGACTGACAGCAGGGAATGGGCTGATGCCTTGTGAAAGCTGAGCTAGGACAGAGCTAAAGAATAAATCAGGGATTTATGGAAAGATCTCCCCAATGGATCCACCTTGGGCAGCACAAGAGCCCAGCCAGGGCTGCACCCAAGATGAACCAAAATGGTCCCAAAAAATGGATGATTGGTCACAAAATGATCAGTTCTGCTCCATTTGCACCTTGGAGTTCATTGTCCCATTCCAGCTTTAGCCCAGGCAGTCCCATCCTGCTTGTTTTTCTCTCTCCAGCCCACGGTGTTTGTGCTCCTGGGCTGAGATTTGGATCATTTGTCCTTGGTGCCCAGCTGGAGCAGGAATTGTTTTGTCTCTGCCCTGTGCAGAGCTCAGCATCCCCTCATGGGAAGCTCAGAGCCACACACTAAAGCAGCTCAGAATGTGAAAAATAGAAAAGCCAAACCTGAGGCATCAGCACAGAATGTGAAAAATAGAAAAGCCAAAACCTGGGATATCAGCACAGAATGTGAAAAACAGAAAAGCTAAACCTGAGCCATCAGTGTGGCACCAGCAGAAATAAATCCTGCTGTCCTCAGTGCTCTGCTTGATGGCTTCATCCTCCTCCAAGAGCTCTCCTGGCTACCAGGGAGCACCAGCCACTTGCCACACAATTCCAGGGTGATGAAGGCTTCCCCTTGTGAAACCCCAGGAGAGCCAGGGCACCTCTGGAGACCCCCTGCCCAATCCTGGATGACACAGGAATGTGTCCAGCTGCGTTTGGAATATCTCCAGAGAGACTCCACCCTCCCCTGGGCAGGTGCTCCAGAGCTCTGCCACCCTGATGGAAATCCCTCCTCACTAAACTCTTCACCAGGAGGACACACAAGGGGACAAAGAGCATCCTGGGGGCACAAAAGTGACACGGGGACAGCTCTGTCCTTCCCAGCTGGGGACTTACTGCCACAGAGGTCTCCGAAGACGTAGTAGCACTGCTCTGAGAAGGTGATTTTGTTCACAGTGTGCCTGAGGTAGCCGTGTTTCAGCATGCTGCTGGCGTATTTCCTGGCCTCACGGCGGTCCTTGAAGCCTTCCACGTGGGTGTAAAGCCAGTCCACCACGTCTGCTCCTGCAATGGGGACAGCAAGAGGAGGCACGGGGTTATCTGAGCCAAACTGTGCTGGCTGAACACCTCAAATGGGGTTATTTGACCCAAATTGTGCCAGCTGAACACCTACAGTGGAGTTTTTTGAGGCAAACTGTGCTGGCAGAACACCTAAAATGGGGTTATCTGAAGCAAACTGTGCCAGCTCAATACCTAAAATGGGGTTATCTGAGCCAACTGTGCCATCTGGACATCTAAAATGAGATTATCTGAGCCAAACTATGCCAGCTGAACAACAAAATGGGATTATCTGAGGCAAACTGTCTGCTGAACACCTACATGGACACTGACACTAAACACACACACGAAAAATTTATTATTTCATAATTAATATTAATTAAATATTAATGTAATTTTAATTTTAATTTAAAATGTTCTTGTTTACACACACCATGCAACCCCTTTGAGCTGCAGGAGTGAAAATGAATTTTTCTCTGGATTTGACTCTTCTCTGGGAGTCACCTTCCTCAAGAGGCAGATGTTATGTTGCCAAAATACCTGTGTTCCAACCCATTCCTCAGCAAAAAGCAACTACAGCCTGGACTGGCAAAATATTAGCACAGCTCAGACTGGCTGTGGCGATTTTAAATCTAATTAAAAGGATTTATTAAGGTTGTGTGGTTGAATTCCAGCTGCTCTGCTGAACTTGGGCAGATCTCTAAAGCCACCTGAAAACTTGAGATAAAAAACCAAAGAATTAAAGAAGCAGCTGTGTGTGGGCATGAGAAATGTGCAACAATTTTGGAGAGCCAAGCTCGAACAAGAATTATTTCCTGTCCATAAACAGAATATAAGAGGTCACAGACATGAAAATAAAGCTCATTAAAAGGTAGTTTTTTGAACCTGTTTCCATTAAATCACTGGGTTTTTTTCCCCCTCAGCATTTCTGGGATCTGCTTACCTATCACTGCGTTGGAAATGGTGATTTTTAACCACATCCTGTCCCGAATTTCAAGGCCTGAGTCTGGCAGCTGCATGACCTTGACAATAGTAGCCATGTCACTCTTCACAGTTAAGGGAGATTCTTCTAATTCTAAAAGGAAAAGAGGCCACAGGCTGATTTGAAATGAACTCAGGCTGAAGGAACTTCTCAGCTCCCAGTTTGGATGAAACAAAAATAAGTTTTACCAAAAAAACCCCACAACAGACCCTAAAAAACCTCAAATCAAAACAAAACAAAAAATCACCCTAAAACCACAAAGGTTCCCAAATGCACCCTCATCCACAGAGTGAATTCCAGCATTTGTAGCAATTTTTCAGATTTTTAGTGGCAGAAATGCTGAGTCCCCACGAGCAGCTACAGGATCCACTCTGCATCAAGAAAGGGAACCCAAGGATTTTTGTGATCCATCATTTTCCAGTTCAAATTTCCCAGGAACAGCCCCCTGGAGAACTCTGTGGGACAAGTTTTTGGGGTTTATTCTTTTGGGGTTCACTGCCAGGAGTACCACCCATCTCCATGGAGAAAGAGGATGACCATGGCTCAATCCATGTCCAGTTTTTTTATTTAAAGATCTGGACATTCGTGGGGAGAACTGAAATTATAAAAGAAATCTTCCCTCCTCAGAAGAAATCAGGGATTTTTTAATAAAAATCCTTCTCAGGAACCCTTCACAATCCTCTTCTCCCAGGATTGCTTTGCCCTCAATCTTTTTTGTGGAACATTAGGAAAAAACCTCCCAAATGCCTCCACAGCCATTTCCCAGTTCACACCATTACAGGCAGAACTGGATCCCCAGAGGTTTCACACTTTCCTGATCAATTTTTACAATAAAATCACAACAGGGTTGAGGTTGAATTTGTCAAATCCTCCTTCTTCTCCCATCTTCCAGCCCTAGAAAATTCATTTTTATCTGTGTTTGCAGCCCAGACCCTTCTCCAGCAGGAATTCCAAAACCCTCCTCCCCTCCCAAGTTCCACACATCACCCACCTTTCAAAAGCACTTTTGTCCTTTTCCAGCCACCCAAAAATTTTGGATAAAAAAAGGTACAGCAAGCGTGAAACAATGAAAACTGAAAATGTTTCTTTCCATACATGCACTGCCAATATGCATGAAAACATCCCAGACCAGCTCTGCATGCAGCTTCAATACTTACAAACCTCAAATAAACACTAAAACTTTGCTTTTGCTTTAAGTTAGTTTGGTTAGTGGCAAAAAGCAACATGTCTGGGGAAAAAAAAATAGCACCAAACTAATATTGGGGAGCAATAAATTGTATTTTCTTGGAAACTTGAGATCTGCATATGAACAGAAAATCTGTATTTTTTAATTTTTGGTTGCTGTACAAATTCTGAGATGCATCTGAAACGCTCCCATTTTGCTCTGAATTCAGTCAGCTTTAAAAATTCACCCAACCCAGGGCAGGGCAGGTCACAGGACTGAGCTGAAGGAAGAGGTCACAATAAAAATCAGGGTTACTCTTTATTCTCTTACATTCCAGAAAGGAAATCTTTTAAGTCACTAGCACATAAATGAGAAGCTGTCTCCAGAAATGTGGTTCTGCTCCCAAATACCTTTACTTTTAAAATCTGTCTGAGAGGGTGCCTGCTCCCCTCTTCCCAACCACAGCATCAAGGCACATGAATTGTTCAAGTGGAATGCTGAGGACAGACTTGTCTGACAGCAATCAGCAGAGAAATTGGATTCCAGCAGTACCTGAAAGGCTCAAAACACATCTCAGGATAAAGCAGCCAGCAGCAAAGGGCTTCATTTGCTTCCTGCTGCAGATTATTTCCCCTCAGTGCTGCTGCCTGATGTCTAAAAACACCTACATTAAAAAAAAACAAACCCTTTCCCTCCAAGGTGAGGTGGAATTCCAGCTTATAGAATTTTATATCCAATGCCACACAGGTCTTTAAAATCCTCAAAGTGTCGTTCTGAGTTAAATAAAAGGAAGAATTAATACTTTTTTAACAAATTTCCAAAATAAGGAGTTGGAGCATTGTGTTAATAACACCAACAGGGTTTGATCCCTGTCTGGGCCATTCATTTAAGATGTGGACTCAATGATCCTTGTGGGTCCCTTCCAAATAAAAAGATTCTGTGATTTGAGTGTTCTGAGAGGCTTTTGAATTAAAAAAAACCTCTCTGAATCTTGCAAACTCTTGGTTTCATGGATTTTTAGAACTTTTAGAACTTTTTTAGACTGCCACAGACTGACAAACCAAGAGGAAGGTTGAAGTCTAACCGTAATTTCATGTAGGATGTTAAATTTTGTTTTAGCTTGCTCTAGGAAAAAAAAGCACAAAAATATAAAAAAGAATACCATATGAATATCAGGGAAGGATTTCCCAAATGAAACACTGACATTATTGTTTTGGTTTTGGTTTTAGCTTGCTCAATAAATCCTAGGAATATAAAAAAGAACAAAAAACAAAAAAAAAAGATTAAAAAGTATAAAAGAAGGCCATGTGAATATCAGGGAAGGATTTCCCAACTGAAAGCATGAACGTTATGGTTGAAATTTATTAAAAAACAACCAAATGCACCTGAATGGAAAAACTTGAACATTATGGTTGAAATTTATTAAAAACCAACCAAATGCACCTGAGTGGAAAAACCTGAACGTTATGGTTGAAATTTATTAAAAACCAACCAAATGCACCTGAATGGAAAAACTTGAACATTATGGTTGAAATTTATTAAAAAACAACCAAATGCACCTGAGTGGAAAAACCTGATCGTTATGGTTGAAATTTATTAAAAACCAACCAAATGCACCTGAATGGAAAAACCTGAACCTATCATTAAAATCCACCAGCAAGGACTTCTCCCTGAGACAGAACCCTGACCAAACACCTCTACATCAACCTCCAACCTTTGCCAAAAGCTTTCCTGCTTTCCCCAAGCGTGAGAAACCACTTTAGGCTTAGCTGGCACTGCCGCTGTCACCGTGCCCGTGGCCGGGCGCTGGTGGCCCTGAGCAGCCCCCTGCCCTGGGCTGGCCAGGGGGTGACTTACTTTCCGACTCGGGAATTGAGCTTGTTAGTGAGGAGCTGGTAGATGTGGTGATGCTCATGGAGGGGCTCATACCGTAACGGGGGTACGCTCCCGTCATGGCCGTGGTATGAGAGATCCACGCCGCGGGGTCGATCGGCCGCACCGGCTCAGCTGCCAGCAAAAGGCAAAGAAAACGGGGTCAGGAATGCAGAAAACACCTCGATTTTGAGATATCTGAGGGGTTTTCTTTGGTTTTCTTGTTGTTTCTTTGGTGTTCTGAGGGTTTCACGTGAGTGAGATCCCACAGATTGTACCACAACAAAGGGACAGCAAATGGGGTCAGGCATGCAGCAAACACCAAGGATTGGAGAGATCTGAGGGGTTTTCTCTTGGTCATAATGGTTTTAATAAGGGTTTCATGTGAGTGAGGTCCCATAGTGTGCACCATCATAAAGGGACAGCAAACGGGGTCAGAAATGCAGCAAACACCAAGGTTTTGAGAAATCTGAGGGGTTTTCTCTGGTTTTCTTGTTGTTTCTCTGGTTTTCTGAGGGTTTCACGTGAGTGGAATCCTGTAGTCTGCACCACCACAAAGGGACAGCAAAATGGGGTCAGAAATGCAGCAAACACCTAGATTTTGAGAGATCTGAGGGGTTTCTTGTAGTTTCTCTGGTTTTCTGAGGGTTTCACATGAATGAGGTCCCATTGTCTGCCCCAGACAAAAGGCACAGAAAATGGAATCAAACTTGCAGAAAATATCAAGATTTTGGAAGATCTGAGAAGTTTTCTCTTGTTCTCTTGTTGTTTTTCTGGTTTTCCTAAGGATTTCAAGGGGGCTCCCCCAATCTGCACCAATCTTGCATTTATTCCACCCTCATCTTCAGTGCCACTCTCCTCTTCTGTGGACTGGGAACAAACTGGCTCCAGTTCCACCAGCACAGCCCTCACCAGCAGGAGGCAGCTGTGTTTGTCACATGAGTACAGATCTTTTACTGCTACTGAAAACAAGATCATTTTCATTTTTTTTATGTGTATCACTGCTGCTTCCCTCACATCTTCAAAACACTCAGTTGTCTCTAAAAGTTCACTGTGAGAAAATGAAGATTTTTAACACTTGGCATAATTATTTCCAAACTTTTTATGTATTGAACAGTTAAGATCACCTCCCAAAACATCAGGAGCTTGATCCAAAGATGTGAACCAAGAGAAAAACTCCCAGGAATTCAATGGGCAGTGGAACTCCAGGCTCCCAGTACAAAAGTAAACAAATGAAAGAATTGAATGGGTAGAATCTGTTAGATGCCAAAATAAGTGAAAATATTCCAGACTTTTGGGGCTTCCCAGGAACCCAGCAAAGAACCCAAATGTGTACTCACCCCTGGGGATGGTGAAATAACTCCTGGGAGTAGGGTCCCAGCATTTGGCTACTGTTAGGCTGATAGGTCTAGGAAGAAAGAAAACAGGTAAGGATGACTCTTAACTTTCCTACAGAGCTGAAAATGCTAGAAGAACGATTTGAAACAAATTTATTGCTATCCAGCAGTTGTCAAGTACATTCTGAGAATGGTTTTGAGAAGCTTTATAATATTTTCAGTATGAAGCACATCAGGACATTCCTGGCTTTGCACAGATGATGAGCACTGGTGGTGAAATGTGTTGGATGATCAGCTCTTGAGATATTAAAATGCTCATCACATAAGCAAACAGCCCTGCTGAAAGCAGGCAACTCTTCGATTGGTGTTGGTTTTGGCTAGAACCAACCTCACCTATTCCTCATTTACACTGAGGAGTTCACAGCTGAGATCAGTCATGCTGATGGATAACAGAATGTTGATTTCTCTGAGGTTTTCCCTGCTCCAACAACTGCACATGGAGGATAAATGGAGGATAAATAAGAAGAGGTTTTGTGATGTGTGCTCACCCTGGTTTGGAGACGATTTCCCGTAAAACCCGAACGGCATCATCATTGCTCATGTTCTCAAAATTAACATCATTCACCTGGAACAGTGCAGAGAGCAGAGGTCAGCCTTTGCAGCAGGAAAGTTAAAGGTGCTCTAATTACTTCATTAAATCCCCCAATTTATCTGCCTGCTCACTGCTTCCATTCCTTTGAGATGTCATTTCTCAGACCACCACACGAAGAATCACCGATTTCAGGGATCTTTGGGCCACATTTCCCTGAAGATGAGTAAATTCTGCTCCTTGGTTCCCACAGCCCGTGGGGGTGGTGGGATGGCAGAGCAGAGCAGCAGGATTTGGGGACAGGGACCCACCTGCAGCAGCATGTCCCCTGGCTCGATGCGCCCGTCCGCTGCCACCGCCCCTCCTTTCATGATGGAGCCGATGTAGATGCCACCATCGCCCCGGTCATTGCTCTGCCCCACAATGCTGATTCCCAGGAAGTTGTATTTTTCTAGATGGACACAAAATGGGGGGTGGGGAAGGGGAAAAAAAAGCAGGCAAAGTGATTGGAATGATAGCAAAGAGCAAGGCTGTTTCAGCTTTGAAACATCTCAACACCTCAGCGAGGCAAGGTTTGACTTGCAATGATCTCAGGCTGCTCTAATGGTGAATATTTGTCTGGCACCTCCAGGGAAAGGCTGCTAAATACAGGATTTTTTTCATCCAAGACAGTGTTACTTTAAAAAAAAACCCAGCAAGAGGAAGAGCACTGAAAAGACTTGTCCACACCTGGAAATTAGCACTGATCACATTGAGCAATGTTTGTTCCACAAGTCAGAGAGGCAGGAAGGGTTTGGTGCTGCTGAAAAGTGCTGAATTTGCTGGCAGCCCTGCACATTTCTGCCTGGCTGACAAATGAAACACACGAGCAGCAGAAATGCAAACCTCCAGAGCCCTTCTACCCCAATCCCTCACCATTAACTCCACATCCTGCAGTTCCAGCTCCTTCCCTGGAAGGAACACTGATCTGCTGTGAAAATGGCCCAGTTCTGGATTAGGAATGCAGATAAATACAAAATACATCTCTACCAACTAAAATTCATCATAAAAAACGTGTCTGGTCCTCTTACCCATGTTGAGTGTGACAGTGATGATGTTTAGGGACATGGTGGAGTCAGTGATGCTGCTGAACGAGGACGACTGCAAAACACAAGAAAAAGTCTCAAGGTTTTAAATGGCTCAGAGTAAGAGCTGCTGAGGATTAACTCATCAGGAATTGATTAACAGGTTTCCAACTGAAAGCCAGCTGGAAATTATTGAGTCTTCCTCAAAATTATGCTTCATTTAGAAACTTTAAGGAAAGAAATCTGAGCAGAGTCTGCACTTTCTCCAAAGGTCTGATAAAAACCACCCAGAGCACGTTCCTATACTGAGGTTTCTCAACTGAACTTCCCCTGGAATTATTTCTGCTTCCTGGCTGTGACTGACAGGCAAACATTTGGATCTTGAAGTGCCCAGTGGAGTGTGAATTACTGCCCACAGCTCCTCCCTAAAGGGAGGAGTGAACAGCACATGATCCAGCAGGAAGCGAGAGGAGAGAAACTGCCCTGCCTCCAAAATTAAATCCAAAGGTGCGTATCAAAGGCCTCCTAAAACACTATCCTATGATAAAATGTGTGTGAGGTCGTTCTTTAGTGTGTGGAGACTGAGATTTATGGGAGAACAACACAGGAACTTCAGGAGTCTGTCCATGGGGTCACCCTCATCCTGCTGCCAAGGGCTGGCACGGGAAAGGGCAAAGGCAAAGATTTGGGATTTCCTACGAACTTGGGCTTCTCCTCCCAGCAGAATGCAGGTCTCAGGGTATCTCACACCCCTTCCCACATCATCATGGAACTTCTCCTCCAGAGCTTGGTCTCGGAAAAGACAAAAAATGGGATCACTGAACAGTGAAAGGAGACAGGGAGAGGTGAAAACTTCACTTTGGAGCCGCAGAACTTCAAATGCAGAGATTTAGCCCAGCCTGGAGCCACAAGGAGCCTTCTCAGTGAATTCAACAGGCACAGACCTGTCCTGGATCCCTTCAGCTCCCCTCAGAAATCCCAGCTCACCTCCCTGGGTGATGCTGGTGCCGACCTTACCCTGTCGATCTGCCGCATCCTCTGTTTCCTCCTCCGGCGCTTGTGCTTGCGGATGAGCCGGGACGAGGTGCTCTGCTCCGTGGAGCTGCTCAACCTGAGGGCAAGGACAGCAAATGTCACCCCTGGGAGGCTCAGCCACCTGCTCCTCCTGCCAGGAAGAGCTGATTCCTGCAGCAGCAGCAGAGGGGAAATCACACAGACCGCTCAGGAGAGGATTCCAGCTCAACGACAGCAGGGATCAGATTAATAATTTAATTATTATTTAATTTAGCAGTTGTTTTCTTCTGGGAGCAGGTCTGACTGCAACTCTTAATGATCATTTTTGTGAGTCATGTCATGGTGCTGTATTTTCTTCCACTGTTATCAAGAATTAAAGGCTTAAATGTAAAGAAATCAAATAGAAATTGGTAATGGGGGACAGTGAATATGATTGACCTTCATATATTCTGTTAAGTTTCATTTTGCTGTTTTTTCCAAACTTGTAGAACCTAAATGTGCCACATTTTACATACAAATCTTTAAGGTCTTTAAAGAGTTTAGAGCATTAATCATCCTCACTGTACAGAGAGTAGAATGAGACAGAAATGGATTTGCCCAAATTAATTTCAGGAGCCTGGAACAAAGCCCAGATTTTTAAGATACCACTGTAACACCAGAGAAACAACATCTCTCTTCTATTTAACATGTAAGAATGGAAAAAAAAAAAAAAAAAAGACAAAGCAATGCTCCATCATTAACCAATATTAAAAATCCAGCCTTTTACAACACAGAATAACCAGTGCCAGGCTTTCCCCCCAATTTCCACATCCCTGCCTTGCACGCTCCAGCCACATGCAGGAATGTGAGAACACCTCAAAAACTTGATTCCAGCAATTCCAAAAAGGAATTGCCCACAGGAAACCCCTCTGGCCTGGAATATTTTGATCAAGAATCAGCCCTGGAGGTGCTGGAGCTGCTCAGAGGGTGTGAATCCCCTGCCATTCCCTTGAGTTCACACAACTATTTCAGGCATGTTAACCTCACACACTCCTCCTTCCCCTCCCAGCCAGGGGAACTGAAGAGCCAAGAAGTGGGATTTAACAAAAAAAAAAAAAAAAAAAAAAAAGATCCAAAATGTGATAACCCCTGGTGGGTGGAACAGCTCACACAGGAAAAATAAGGAGGTGTCAAACCCAGGGCTCCCAAAACTGGGCTTGTTCAATATCCACCAAAGATTTACACAAAAACCTCCTCTTTTATTTCGCTGTCAATATTCTCCCCCTTCTTGATTCCTCTCCCATTTTCTTCTCCTCCTTTTCCCTCACCAGAGGATTCAGCTAAAACTTCCCAGTTTGGGAGAATCTGAGGAAAGCCAAGGCTCACTGCAGTGAAGCTGCTGCTCTCTAAAAGTGCATTTTTCTCCCAAATTAAACCAGCAAAACCAGACTTTCTTGGCAAATCTCGGAGCCTCTGCTAGCAGGTGATAACATGTGAGAAGTGAAGAAGTGAAGTTGTTCCTGTTGTATTTTTGCCATTCTGCTGGGTATTGGGATGGAAGGATGAGAAGCAGCTCCTTGAAAAGCCCCAGCTCAGGTTTAGTTCAAGGGGACACAAAAGATTTCAGGGAAAAAACAGAGCTAAACCAGCCTCTCAAAAAACCTGATGATCAGAAGGCTCTGCAGGAACATTTTTACACCTATTTTCATGGAGCTGTGGCACATTTCATCATCTCTCCTTGTACTTTCTGCTCAATCCAGAGCCTTAATGCATCCTGGCTGAATCTTTAATATTCTGGGAGCATCTGGATGCTAAAAAGCAGCTCAAACCTACTCTAATGAGGAATATTTTGCTCTCTGAAGCATCTCCAGAAATATTGGGTGAAATTTGTTATTATTACAATCTGATGAGCAAGACAAGATGGTAAATTTGAGCTTTTGAGACAAATAAAGATGAAAAACAAATCTGGAATTATCACTACCAATTAATTTCCTGCACCAGCTACTGTTCAAAACCCTGATTGCACTTCTAACACAAATGCCCAGAAATACCACAGGAGAGATTTTAAAAATACTGTAATAATAATAATAATAATTTTATCTATTCTACAATTCCCAAAGAACAGGGGGAAAAAAAGGCAACATTTGTTAAAACAAGCTTACCCACACGGCTTGAAAAGAAATTATGGTAATTTATTAAATGATAAATAAACAATTTTTTGCAGTGAATTATTTTAGTTGCATTAAACTTAGAGCAGCAATTGCTGACAATAATCCTACAGCTACAGATGTCAGCTTTGTTAAAACTTTACTTTAGAGAAGACAGGAAAAAAGTTTTTACTGTGAAGTTGCCTACATCAACCTGTGTTCAAAATCCTATCTGCAAACAGAAACAGTAGATTTGTAAAAAAAATTGTAAAAAAAATTGTCAAACACCTCGGAAAAAAAAAGTAAATAAATTATTGTGCTCCCACTGTCACTCTGCACTGTCCTGGAATGTCTGTGAATAGGTTAATTCACCAAAACATGACATTATTCTTTAACTGAATGCAACAGAACTTCCTTGGGCTGGGAATTACCCAGCTCTGTCCCACTGCTCTGAGTTCAAATAAAACCAAACCGAGCCAGAAAAGCATCCTGAGCCTCACAACCTCCTCCTTTCCAGGACAGAAGATCCTTTCCCTCCGATTTCCTGCCTCCGTACCTCCTCCCTGCATGGCCTTCCTCCCAAAGCAGCTCCTGCAGCAAACCCACCAGCTGCCAGGAACCAAAGTCACCTCTGTCCTCAGGGGATGTGTCCATCAGGGACCAAACTGACCCCTCAGACCCCTCTGTCCCCACACTGATGTGTCCATCAGGGACCAAACTGACCCCTCAGACCCCTCTGTCCCCAGGGGATGTGTCCATCAAGGACCAAACTCACCCCTCAGACCCCTCTGTCCCCACACTGATGTGTCCCTCAAGACCCAAACTGACCCCTCAGACCCCTCTGTCCCCACACTGATGTGTCCCTCAGGACCCAAACTGACCCCTCAGACCCCTCTGTCCCCACACTGATGTGTCCCTCAAGACCCAAACTGACCCCTCAGACCCCTCCGTCCCCACACTGATGTGTCCCTCAGGACCCAAACTCACCCCTCAGACCCCTCTGTCCCCACACTGCTGTGTCCATCAGGGACCAAACTGACCCCTCTGTCCCCAGCAGATGAGTCCCTCAGGACCCAAACTCACCCCTCAGACCCCGCTGTCCCCAGGCTGGTGCCTCCAGCAGCTCTGGAACCTTCTCCATTTGCTCTTTGCCTGATTTGCCTCTACAGAAAACTTCTCCCTGCCAGCACAAAGCCTCCCGTGCCTGAGAACCTCATTCCTGGAACACAGCAGCATACCTTGGAGCATTCCTTCCAGTGGTTCTTCCTGACGAGCTGGCCTGGCAGCTCTTCCCTCTGCCAAAAACTCCTGCCCAATCTCCCGAGGGAAAGGCAGCAGCAGCAGCTTCCAAGAATTTCTTTCCTTCTTGCTCAGGTCAGACTCAGGAAGTTTTGGTATTATTTTATTCATACAGAAAGATTTGCTGCCTCTGCTCTGACGTGGCCCAGTGGCCACCCTGAGCTAATCCTGCTCCAATTATTCATTTATTTACAAGAAACATAAATCTGTTGTTGTTGTTGTGGGCTCGAGTTTTTGGGGTAGAGCTCAAAGCCCTGAAGGCTTTGGGAAGGCTCAAGGTGCATTCAGGGTTAAGGACCAACCCTCCATGCAGGTAAAGACCCAGAAAAGTGATTCTTTTATATCTCATAATTTTTTATATCGCATTAAGGGTTAGGGACCAGCCCTCCATGCAGGTAAATACCCAGAAAAGTGATTTTTTATATCTCATCATGGAGTGGTTTGGGTTGGAAGGGACCTTAATCTCAGTTTATTCCAACCCCTGCCATGTGCAGGGACACCTTGCACTTCACTAGGACTGCAAAATAACTTCTTGAAATCAATTCAGGACTAAATTTCCAATGTGAAGTTTAGTTACCCTTTGGAAACTCGCCTTTAATCAGTACTGTGAGGTCTTTAAAACCTGACCAACTGCAAGACCCAACAGATCCACCAAGATCCATAAGCTGATCATGTTTTAAACACAGCACTGGGTTCAGGATCTCCAGGAGCAGTTGCTTTTTGCTGTTTTTATTAAAAATGCCATGGTTTTATTAAAATTACCATGTTCTGCCTTTTTGAGCTGCAGATCCCTCCCTGTGACCCACCAGAGATCTGTCACCCTGATGTTCTCTGGCAAATCCATAATGGATTTTCAGAGCCCACTGGGATGAAGAACAGCTCTAGAGCCAGTGGCCAGGAAAAGGAAAAATATTCCAGAGAAATGTGGCCAGGAAAAGGAAGGAAAATACTTCAGATTGGTTTTACCTCCATGAAAATAAGTATTTTGAAGCCACAAAATGTATTGGCTTAAAGACTTCTTAAAGAAAAACAAAAATATCTTTAGCTATAACAAAGATATCTTGAAATGAGAGGTATTTTTCAAGCAGGGAATAATTCACACACCCTGCCTACACAAAAAGAAATAATGAAGAAGCCACAAATACGTGGCAGCCCAGGCTGCCTTTGCAGCAGCATTAACTTTGATGAATTCCTGAACTGCTCATAGGTCTCAGACTATGCAATTAGCCAGGAATTCCTTTATAATTGAGCTCCAGTGAAGTGCACGTTTATTAGGAATCTGTGCTGACAGTATTTTGTTTTAATATTCACACCATTGCTTTATAAATAGGTAGGCAGAGTGCTTTGATCTGGAAATGTGGCCATTCTTGCTATGAAAAGGAGAGGAGCAGAGCTTTGCTTTCAACTGCAGGAGTGGTTTGGGCTCAATAACAGAGTTCAAGACTTGTTAAAGAAAAACATTAAAAAATCCATATAACTTATAGATTTATATATTGGTTTCAGAGCCTGGACCCAAAAACTGAGCAGTGATTCCACACAACGATGTCACTGATGAGTGACCTGTGCTCAGATTGATGCCTCATGTTTTGGTTTTTGTATTTTTCACATTCTGTGCTGATGCCTCAGGTTTGGCTTTTCTATTTTTCAGATTCTGTGCTGATATCCCAGGTTTTGGTTTTTCTATTTTTCACATTCTGTGCTGATGTCTCAGGTTTGGCTTTTCTATTTTACACATTCTCTGCTTTAGTGTGAGGCTCTGAGCTTCCCATGAGGGGATGCTGAGCTCTGCACAGAGAGAGACAAAACAATTCCTGCTCCAGCTGGGCACCAAGGACAAATGATCCAAATCTCAGCCCAGGAGCACAAACACCGTGGGCTGGAGAGAGAAAAACAAGCAGGATGGGACTGCCTGGGCTAAAGCTGGAATGGGACAATGAACTCCAAGGTGCCAATGGAGCAGAACTGATCATTTTGTGACCAATCATCCATTTTTGGGACCATTTTGGTTCATCTTGGGTGCAGCCCTGGCTGGGCTCTTGTGCTGCCCGAGGTGGATCCATGAGGAGATCCTTTAATAAATCCCTGATTTATTCTTTAACTCTGTCCAGCCTCTGTCCTAGGGCAGCTTTCACAAGGCATCAAAATCACAAAAGAAATAAAAAAAAAACCCCAAAAAAATAATAAAAAACGCCAAAAAAAAGAGGAAGGAAAAAAAAGAGAGAAGAAGGTTGAGAGGAGCCCAGGAGCTGTGGCTGTACCTGCTGGTGTGCTCCTCGTCCTCGGAGTCGATGAAGCTGCTGGACTCCAGCTCGCTGCTCAGCACGGTGGAGGAGCTGTCGTAGCCTGGGGGGTGCTCCCGGTGCCGCTCCAGCTTGGGGTGCCCGTTGATCCTGGGGGCTGCAAAAGCACAACCAAGGCAGTGTCACAGCCTGCTGATGGAACAGTGACACTCTGTCTCCTTAAAAAGGAAAAAAAATAGAAATTTCTCTCTTTGTGGCAGGCACGTTCTTCTCTAACTCAGAATTTTTTCATAGGGGAGTAGACAGGGAAAATAGAGAACACAATTTCTATTTCTGCTCCTTGTTTTCCCATGTGGAATGTGTTTGGAGAATTGTTTCCCTGGGGTGATGGGTTGGTTGGGTTCTGTTGAGGATTTTTTGAGCTGGTGGCCAATCCAACCCACCTGGGGCTGGAGCCTCAGAGAGGGTCACGAGTTTTGAGTTAGATATGATAGTTAGAAAAAGTGGGTTTGTAGTTTTAGCACCTCCTTTAAATAGCATATTAATGTATTATAGCATAGTTATAATAAAGAAATCATTCAGGCTCTGAGCTGCAGTCACACATCAGCATTTCTCCCCTCGGGGCTCCCCTGCATTTCCAGCAATCCCCACTCCTGCATTTCCTGCGTGCAGCCGTTCCTGCAGCCCCGCAGCTCAGCTGCAGCTCAGGGGCAGAGCTGGAAGCCCACGAGCCTGGAGGTGACATCTGCCCATCAAATGGAGGAACGTGTCCCCTGTCAGCCTTGGACTCCTTAAAAAGGACAAAACCCAGAAGTTTCTCTCCTCAATTTGGTTAAAAGACACCTCGTAGGACCTTGGGGGCTTCACCTCAAATTTAAGGACACCCAAATGGACAGGAGTCAAAAAGTCCCTGAGCAACTCACTAGAAAATGAAGAGAGCTGCTGCCCTGGTTTTTAAGTGTTTTCTTTTATAGTTGTTTTGAAAGTTTTAAAGTTCTCATCAAACTTTACCTTATGACAAAGATTACATATTTCTACTGGAGTTCTCACTGTTTTAGTATTATATATATGTATATATATATGTATATATATGTGTGTGTATATATGTATATATATGTGTGTGTGTGTATATATATATATATATAGTATTGTATTTTAATTTTTTGGTTTATTTTCATAGTTATTTTATTTTTTTATATTTGAAATTTTAAACTTTTTAACTAAATGTGCTTTTGCATGGACAGTCCCAGCAGCACAGAAATCCTGAAAAAAACCAACATTCCTCGATGAATTTTATTAATATTTTATCCATAAAATCAGTTTTACCTGGACCAGATATTCAGGTGATTCCTGGATGAATTTTATTAGTATTTTACCCATAAAACTACTTTTACCTGGACCTGATATTCAGGTGTTTCGGAACATTTCTTTATTAATCCCTGGCTGTGTGAACGCTGTCAGAACAAACATTCCCACAGATAATCCCCTCCCAAAAATGCCATTTACTTGAAAGCTGCAGTGACTCATCTTTTTCCGAGATATTTTAGGGCTTTTCCTCAGCAAATCAAACTCCTCCTGCACCTTTCATTAGAATATCCTTAATTTCCAAGTGCTCATTTTTTAAAAAAGATATTAAGGATTTTCCTCATCAAATCAAACTCCTCTTGCACCTTTCAGTAAAATATTCTTAACTTCCAAGTGCTCCATTTTACCAGGAATGTTCCTTTCCCTAAAAGAAGAAAGGCTGAGCTTGATAAGGCAAAGAAATCAACATAACAGGCTTCAAAGACAGATTTAAAAATATTTTTTGGTTTTAACCCTTTTTGATTTTAAACCACCCTCTCCAAACACACAAATCCCAAGCCTAAGGGATTTTTTTTTTTCTTTTTTACAGAATATAAAACCTGCTCAGGGGAGGAAGGCCTGCAGGAGGAATTATACCGGATTCATATTGAAAGTTAATTATTAAAGTAACTTTTCAAGTGAGGTACCAGAGGAATTTGACAAAGCAATGCTCATTTTTTATTAAAGATTTCCAGAATTAGGAACAGAGGAAGCCAAGGCATGGAATAAATCTAATTTCTACCTCCCAAGCAGCACCAAGTAACCTCGAGCTCACAATAAAGATTTCCTGTGTAATTAAGGTGTGCATTTAAATCCATAAAGTTTTTTTTGCAATTTGCCTGCCCGTGTAAAATTCCCTTTCCCAATCTTTTCTAATGTTAGCCAGCATTGTCTGGGGGCAATAAACCATTCTTATAATTGAGTACTTTCACAAACCATGATTTTTAGGGATTTACTCATAAAATATTTCCAAAGCAACAGGGACTTTTGTTGCTTGAAGAGAGAAAGGGGAGCTCTGACATCCTGATTTTTTTTTTTCCAGCTCAGTTTCCCTTTGGAGTTTCTTGATGTTTGTATCTCCAGCATCCCACACCTCCAAAAAAAGAGGTTTTTTACATTCCTCAAGCCACCACCACGTTCTCCTTGTGGGGATTATTTTGAAATCGGGGAATATACAAATTTTTAAATTTAAGTCTAAAGAAGAATCAATCATTCCCTGCTGTGGCTCAGTGCCTGTCCCCCCTAATGACCAGGGACTTTCTGCCCTGCTCTGTCCCTTCTTTAGAGGGTGAAGAGTTCAATGTGACAAAAACCTTCCAGTGTCTCAAAGAGCTGAGAATAAAGCATGGCCTGGGAGGGTGAAATGTGTCCTCCCTGACTTTTATCAAGAGCAAGGTCCTGCCTGAGGGACAGAAACACATCAAAGAGCAAATCAAACCAAACCTGGAAGCAGAGAGGGAAGAGCAGCAGCTGTGGAGAGGTTCTGTCACAGCAGAGAACAGGGTGAGGGTGATGCCTCAGGTTTTGGCTTTTCTATTTTTCACATTCTCTGCTGCTTTAGTGTGTGGCTCTGAGCTTCACATGAGGGGATGTTTGGTTTATATTGTTATGGTATGGTTTAGAAGGTTATAAGATTTTTAGTTATAAGATTTTACTCTTCACAGAGCAGGGAGACAAAACAATTCCTGCTCCAGCTGGGCACCAAGGACAAATGATCCAAATCTCAGCCCAGGAGCACAAACACCGTGGGCTGGAGAGAGAAAAACAAGCAGGATGGGACTGCCTGGGCTAAAGCTGGAATGGGACAATGAACTCCGAGGTGCAAATGGAGCAGAACTGATCATTTTGTGACCAATCATCCATTTTTTGGGACCATTTTGGTTCAACTTGGGTGCAGCCCTGGCTGGGCTCTTGTGCTGCCCGAGGTGGATCCATGAGGAGATCTTTTAATAAATCCCTGATTTATTCTATAACTCTTTCTAGTCGCTGTTCTGGGACAGTCTACACAAGGCATCAAGGGCGGCTCAGACAGAAGGGCCAAGCTGCCAGTAAGGTGGGAAAACAAAACCCTCCCAACCCCTTCCAAAGCTCTTTCCCATTATTTAGGAAAGGAGTTGTTGATTCCTCAATAAAGACTTGGAACCCTGCTGGGTGCAGGGCTCAGTCCCTGCTACTTCAACAGGGAAGGACAATGGGATTGTCCACTCCTGCCTTATGGGCACATCCCATAACTTGGGATTGGAGTTCTTTGGATCCTCCAACAGCCCCAAATCCCTCCACCCCAATCAGGCTCAACATTCCCATCCCAGCTGTTTTCCAGTTCCAGCCCTCCTGCAGTCAAAAATTGCAGTCCACATACTGCAGCAGCAAGGGGAAATCTGCAGCAGCTCCTCTTCCCAAACATTTGGGATCTGGAGCCTGCCCACATGAAGAGTCCTCCAGGCACAGGCATTTCTCAGCTGGCTGCACAAGAGTTAAGTTCACCCCACAGCAAAGTGGGTGTTGAAACCTCAGCGTCGACACTTGACATCTGCAGACTTGTCAGAAACTGAGCAGCAGCTATAAAACATTCCTCAACACCCAAAAAAAATCCCCTCTTGTCCCTTAATTACCTCCCTAATTAGAGCTTCCACAGTCCCCTTTCCCACTGCTCCTCAGCAAAGTGACACGGGAGCTTTGTTCCTCCCAGCCAGGGGTCCCCACAACCTCCCACCACCCTAATTAACATCCTCACTCCACTTTCACTTAATAAGACTTTGCCAACCTCCCAAAGCAATGAGGACTTTTGTTGCTTGAAGAGAGAAAAGGGGGAGCTCTAACATCTTGATTTTTTTTTCCCAGATCAGTTTTCCTCGAGGTTTTCTTGGTGTTTGTATCTGTAGTGTCACACAGCTCCAAAAATTGGAGTTTTATTACGTTCCTCACGCCACCATCTTTTTGGGGATTATTTTAAAATCAGAGAATATACAAGCACAGATGGAGATTCAGCACTTTAAAATAGGAATACAATTTAAGGAAAATTGGTGGAAGAGCTTAAGGAAATCCCAAATCCTTCTGCATTTTAAATGGGAAGAGGTGTGAAAACGCTGTCAGATCAGCCAGGTGTGTCCCACACCTTCCAGCTGCAGCTGGAATCAATATTTATCAGTGTGTGTGTGGAATTGCCCAGTAGCCATTCAGCAGAATCAGCTTTTCTGGGGTGAGTAATCCTGCAGCAATGAAGGGAAACATCCAGGCTGCTGTGCTGAACAACCCACCCGTGGTACCACACTGTTCATTATCACCCACTGGAGCACCTGGAGAATTCACCAGCACCCCAACGACCAAACCAAACCTCTGCAAGGATCTTGTTGCAGTTCAAGCCCAGACTGAAAGCTGGCAAGGTTTTCCAATAAAATTAGGAAGCAATTTTTGTAAATTAAAATGGAGAGTAGCACAGAAAATCTTTTTTTTAGTGTTCCTTTTCTTCCCTGGGGTTTTCCCAACCTTCATTCTGTGGAACCTCTCATTCCCAGTGCTCTGGACTCAGCCTGTTTGACCTGTTCAGGTTTCAGCTCAGCGCTTCTCTGCTCCCAAGTGGCTCCTTCACACCTTTTCTCACTTCACCTGTTTGAAATGAAAGCTGGAACACCCTGTTCTTGATTTCTTGTGGAACAAGAACTCCTTTCCCTTGAGGGAACCCAGGGAAATCCTCTTTGCCAGGGTGGGTGATTCTTTGTACCAAACAGTTCCAATTTGTCCAGCTGGCTGAGCTGTTCCTGTGCCTCTGGAATAAATCCCCTGGCACAAAGCTGTGAGTAACACAGAGCTCCAGGAGTTCCCTCATCCTGCCCCTCTGCCAAGCACCAGGGCTGTAATTTGGGCATTATCCAAACGAGTCCCTGCAGGAGCACATCAAACACTCTCACTGCATTTCCTGCTTCCTGCAGGGAAAGGAGGATTTTCCCAGCACACAGCTGCTGGCCCTGGAATAGCTGGATCCAGGTGTCACAGCCCTTTCCCCATCCCTGTCCCCCTTTTCCTAGGGCTGTTCCCCCATTTTCCACCCCAGACAAGACTTGCAGGTGCAAGGACAGAGTGATCCTGTGATCATTGTTAGGAAAAGGCCTTAAAATCCTTCCCAGGATTAGGGTATTTCTCTTCTTTTAGTGTTGTCAAGTGACACTTCAGGACACAGAGCTGAACTGTGCATTTTAGACCTGCTTTCCACTGAAAACAACACACTCCTGGTGCTGTTATTGCTAAATGAAATATTGTTATGACCACAGAAACACCCTGGACATTAAATAATGTCTTTTAAAGCAGTTCTCCTTGCTGTATGCACACTAACAGAATTCACCTGCTGCAGGCAGAAGGCCTGAATTCAGGGAACAGTAATGTTTGTGACAGGTTCTTGCTTGTGGTAAAAGGAGGAATTTTTATCCCATTTCCTTCTCAAGGGAAATGCATGAGTTGGTTTCAGACCACTCCAGGCAGAAACTCCAGTGCTCAAACAACTCCATCCACCAACACCAGTTTTTATGCCATAAATCAGAACAAAACATGCACTGGCACTGATTTAATGCTTAAAACAACTCCCCTTTTCACAGTCTTCCTGCAACAAGTTTTTAATCAACACTGTGAGAGGATTCTGCCTCTTTCTGTCAGTTCCCAAAGGAATTTGCAGTCAGGATCATGCACAGACAGCTCTCTGAGAAATCCCAGTGACGGATTTCCACTCACTTCTCATCAGTGACACTCTGGAAGGGGTAAATGAACAGAATCCCTCAGTATAAATCTGATTTCTGAGGTTATAACTAGAGGCAAATGCTTGCTGGGTGGAGCTGTGAATAAAGGCTATGATGGCATTTCTTGGGCCCAAGTATTCCAAGTTCTGGACCATTTTACACACAATGGGTGGCACCTATTAATTCTTAATTAAGCCTGGAAATTCTTGTCTGGCAATGAATGAAAAACCCAAGCTTCCTTTGATGTACAGACCAGAGGCAAGAGATGGAGTTCTGCATTTTACAGGTGCACTTGGGGTGCATTTAAGTATAAAAAAAAGATCTTCAGAGCCTCTGTTACACCAGCAGAAAACACCACAGCTGATCCAAACCTTGAGAAATCAACAGCCAAGCTATTCATCTTCTCATGGACAGAAAATTCTGCATATTGTCAAAACCAATCTCTCTGCCACTTCATCGTGAAGCGTTTCTCAGAAAAGCACCGAGCTTCAAAGACTTTCAGAGCAATTATCAAATTATTCCATTAAAAATAATAAAGAGTCCCTGAAAGCAGGCAGGAATGCAGCCACAAGTCTCTTTTTGTGAAGGAGGAGGAGCTGTTTCTCTGAAAGAGGTGAGGAAGATTGGGAAGGGGGTGCTGGAACCCAGGACATCCCTCTGGCTGCCCTGGCTGTCTACAGACCCTGGAATGAAGCCAAAAACACCTGTGGCTTTGATTTTAGCCCATGGAAACAAACTGTCCATTTTTTATGAGGAATTACAAGCCACAAGGGTTTTAGTAGCATGATATTTGAACTAACACAAGGTGAAAAAGTAGAACTTTGGGATTTTTAGAATGGGGTTGAGGGGGTACAAGTTGGAGGAATTTGGGCGTGTCCTGACCTCCTTCTCCTTTGTTTTGTCCTCCATGTCTTGGTTGTGATGGTGACACTTTTCTATTGGTTTAAGGTAGAGATTCACAGTCTAACATGGGCGATGCAAATTGGCAATAAATTGTAAACATAAACACATAGTTTTGAGTATAAAATGTGTGATTATATACTCAAAAATTATATATATACCTGCTCAGGGCAGATGGCCATGGCCTCCTTCCTAGGCAGAGCTCGGCAGGCCAGAGAAAGAATGTTTAGGTGAGAAGAAATAAACAACCTTGAAAGCACAATCAGAAGAACTCCAAGCTCCTTTTGCTGGGCTAGGGAAGCAAAGACTCTTTTTGATCTTTTGGGGTCACCCTGACCTTCAGAACCCCGAGAGAAAGCCCCAGGGGGGAGGATGAGGATGAGGATGAGGATGAGGAAGGACTCACCGTCCTCGTGGCCCTCGCGGTTCCTGCGGCGGTGCCGCTCGCGCCGGTGGCTGACCACGGACTCGGTTCCCGTCTCATTGTCCAGCCCGTCCCTGCTGCTGGCAGCGTTGGGGCTGTCACAGAACACACAGGGAGAATAATTCTCAATTATTCTCTTTTTTGTTTTTCCTTTTCCACACAGGGAGGTTGGAGCTGGGAGCAGGTTGGTGCAAAAGGTACGGAACTGCTCGGAGGAGGAGCGCTGCAAGGTGGCCCAGGCTGCTGGGACACAAAAAAACACCTCGGGGGCAAAAAAGAACGTAAAAAACACCTGAAGGGGGGGAAAAGAACCTAAAAAACACCTCAGGGGGAAAGAGAACCTAAAAAACACCTCAGGGGGAAAAGAGAACCCAAAAACCACCTCAGGGGTGAAAAGAGAAACCAAAATCACCTCAAGGGGGAAAAGAGAGCCTAAAAAACACCTCAGAGGGGAAAAGAGAACCCAAGAATTACCTCAGGAGGGACAGAGAACCTAAAAAACACCTCAGGGGGAAAGAGAACCCAAAAACCACCTTATGGGGGGAAAGAGAACCTACAAAACATCTGAGGGGTGAACAGAGAACCCACAGACCACCTCAGGGGGAAAACATAACCCAAAAATCACCTGAGGGGTAAAAAGAGAACCCAAAACCACCTGAGGGATGAAAAGAACCTAAAAAGCACCTGAGGGGTGAACAGAGAACCCCAAAAACACCTCAGGATGAAAAGAAAACCCAAAAATCACCTCAGAGTGAAAAAAGAACCCACAAACCACCTCAGGGGTAAAAAAAAACCCCAAAAATTACCTGAGAGGTGAAAAGGGAACTCAAAAATCACCTCAGGGGGGAAAAGTGAGCCTGAAACCACTTGAGGGGCAGAGCACCCCAGGGCAGACAGGGGGATAAATATTATAGTTATAAGTAAATAAACATAAATATATTAATTGTATAAGTAAATATAAATAATACTATAAGTAAATAAGTTAAATAAGTAGCCTCGATTTCCAGGGGTCACCAACCAGGAAAAGGGGACAGGTGACACCTGGCTCAGGTCACTGCTGGCCATGGCAGCAGCACCATCTGCTGACTCCTGCTCCAATTCCCACTCCTGAGAACCCAAAGCTGCCTCCAAAACAGGATTTTTTATTAGATATTATACATATAAATATATAACATAATGTTAGATATTATATATATATTGATAATTATCAATATATTTGCAATATATCTTTCTGTGAAAAATGCCAATCACTTGGTTGTTCAAATTTTCAAAGTTTAGTAATAATAAAATGGTTATAAAAATATTAATATAATTAGAGTGATAAAATTTAGGACAATTATAAGACAATAAATTCAGAGCATTGCCACATTTTCTCTGCAATATTTGGAATATTCTGGAAGAAGCAGGAGGACCAGCAGGGTATTGGACCCACAAACCTTGTGGTTAATTACCAGCTAATTATCTTTTAAAACAAAGCTCGGGCTGGCAGCTGTTGCAGGCAGGTTTAGGCCAGGACAGACATAAAAATAAAAAACTGGTTTTATTTTTTGGACAGATCAGAACACAGGAGGGCAGCACAGCCCTTGCAAGGCACTCTCAGGATTTCCCAGGATTTCTTGTCCCCTCTAAAAGGTTTTTTTTTTAAATATTCACAACACTGAGGGTTCTTCCAGGCAACAACCATCCCAAAAAAAAAAAAAAGGAAAAAAAAAAAGGAAAATAATGGAAAAAAATGGAAAAAAAAAAGCAAATTTCCTTTTCCAAACACAGCCTAGGAGCACAAGGCTCTGCTTTAAATCCTCCTGGTGGAAGGAGGAATTTTTTCCTGCTGGAAATTCCCTGGAAAATGAAGGCATCCTAAGGATAGCCCTTGGATCAGGAAGAGGAAATAACAGTATCAAAGCAGCTATTCCCAGGCTGGCCACACACAGCTGGAGCAGGAATTATTGCTTGTGGAAGTTCCCCCTCCAGCTCCAGCTGGCTCTGCACCCTCCCTAATTACAGAACACACTAATCACTTTTCAGCCACACACTACAAAAAGCATTCTGGGCTCCCTCCCTACTTAACTCATCCACAGCAGGCTGGAAAATGAGATATTTTGGATAAATATTTCACTCTAACAATGATGGGGGTTTTTCAGTCGTATCACCCCTTTTATTCCTCGATATTTGATTTTTATAAAAATCAAACACTTGGCTTGCAGCAGGAAGGGAAACGAGGGTGGGGAATAGATGAAAATGAGATTTTGATAAATAAATGGGAATTATTGGAATCAGTGGGAATTACTGGAATGATGGGGGCTGGGAAATTGAGATACTTTGGATAAATATTTTATATCAGATAAATATTTAACTCTAACAATGACAGGGAAATTTCATTCCCATCCCACTTCTAATTCCTCAATATTTGATTTTTCTAACCACAACAACAAACACTTGGCTTGCAGCAGAAGAGAAATGAGGGTGGGAAATAGATGGGAATGAATTTGATAAATCAATGGGAATTTGGGCTTACTGGAATGATGAAGGGTGGGAAAATGAGATATTTTGGATAAATATTTCATAATGGATAAATATCTCACCCTAACAATGACAGGGAAACCTCAGTCCCATCCCCCTTTTAATTCCTCGATATTTCATTTTTATAAAAATCAAACAGCTGGCTTGCAGCAGGAAGGGAAATGAGGGTGAGAAATAGATGGGAATGAGAAATTGATAAATCAATGGGAATTACTGGAATGATGGGAGCTGGAAAATGTGATATTTTAGATAAAAATTTAACAATGACAGGAAAACTTCATTCCCATCCCACTTTTAATTCCTCAACATTTGATTTTTCTAACCACAACAACAAACACTTGGCTTGCAGCAGGAAGGGAAATGAAGGTGAGAAATAGATGGGAATGAGAGATTGATAAATCAGTGGGAATTTTGGCTTACTGGAATGATGAGGGCTGGGAAAATGAGATACTTTGGATAAATATTTTATATTGGATAAATATCTCACTCTAACAGTGACAGGGGTTTTTCAGTCCTATCACCATTTTAATTCCTCAATATTTCATCTTTATGACCACAACAACGAACAGTTGGCTTGCAGCAGCCACGGTGGGAGATAGATGGGAAATGAGGGTGGGGAATAGATGGGAATGAGAATTTGATTAATAAATGGGAATTACTGGAATTATGGGGGCTGGGAAAATGAGATACTTCGGATAAAAATTTAACAATGACAGGGAAACTTCATTCCCATCCCGTTTTAATTCCTCGATATTTGATTTTTCTAGCCACAACAACAAACAGCTGGCTTGCAGCAGGAAGGGAAATGAGGGTGGGGAATAGATGGGAATGAGAAATCAATAATTAAATGGGATAAAACTGGGACTCACTGGAAGGAGGGGGGCCGGGAGTCGCCGATGCCGCCGGTTCTCTCCAGGGCCGGTGGCAGCTCCGCGTGGCTCTCGGTGCACTGCGAGCCCGTGTCCGAGTGGGAGCTCTCAGCCAGGACCAGCTGCCAACGGGAGAAAAAACAGAATTACACAAATCCCAGCGGCTTTTCCAAAGTGTTCCGCCAAAATCCCGGGCTCTGAGGGAAAGCGGAGATGGGAGTGCAGGGATCTGTGCCAAAGATGCAGAAAATTGGGTTAAAATTGGGTTAAATTCAGGTCAAAATCAGGGCTAAATTCAGGTTAAATTCAGATTAAATTCAGGTCTAAATTCGGGTTAAATTCGGGTAAAAATTCAGGTTAAAATTCAGACTCCACGTGAAAATATCAGTGACCTGAATGGGCACAGGATTCCTGCAGGCAGCAGGAATTCTTCTGTGGAGTGGAGTGCTTGGGAATTCTCCCAAATCCCAGTCCAGGACAAGGCAGTATTTCAATATTAATATTATGTCAATATTAAAATGATCAATATCCCCAGTTATTAGCTGTCAATATTAATATTATGTCAATATTAATGTTCTCAATATTCCCAGACATTAGCATGGACTCTCCTGGATAATGGATCAATACCCAGACTGGAAACATGGAATTAAAGATCCTGGAAGGATCCAGTTCCTCATTCCAAACACAGCATTCCCCATCCTTGGGAATTCTCCCAAATCCCAGTCCTGGACAATTTTAATTAAATAAATCCTCCATTAATGATATACATGAATATCTTTCACTAAGAAGCAACAAGGTCTCAGCTTCTCTTTACTTTTAGCTGTGGAAGAAGTTAAAATAATGCTTTAAAATTAATTTAAATCTTAAATTAAATTTAATTTTAATTTTTAATTTTTAAAAATAATATTTTTAGCTGTGGAAGAAGCCAAAGTGACCATTTTGGTTCATTTTGGGTGTAGCCCAAGGCTTGGGTTGATATCAAGTATCCCTGAAACCAACTCATTTCAACACAAGATTCTGCTCCTGGGGATTTTTATTTTTATTTTATTGATTTTAGGTTTTTTTTAAATTTTTATTCCCTGTCTCAGCTCAGGGCAATGTTTTTTTTTCATTTCCCAGCCCTGAAGCCCCTGTGCTGCCCTTGTCTAATGGTTCTGCCCCACCACAGCGTTAATTAAAATTGCAAATAGAGGCTGTAAAAAGCTGATGTATAAACAGGGCAAGAATTATCTGCTGGCAGGCAGATAATGGGGAGGAAAAAAGCAGGGAAAACCTCGGAGAAAGCAGTGACATCACTGCCAGCCAATGGGGAACTGCACATTCCCAGCAGCCAGGCGAGGAATTGTTCCCAGATGTTGCAAATCCTTCCTTAAAAACAGAGATAACAGAGCTGGCAGCAGCCACAAATTCCTGCCACACTCCCAGCTTCCACTTTTTCTCAAGAGAAGGGAAAAGCATTTTAAGCCATTGCAAAAAAAAATTATTTTCCACCTTTTTTTTTTTTCAGATTGCCCAGTTAAGGCCCAAAATTAAAAAGGTAAAAAGGCAAAACTGCATTAATAATTTCCTTCAGGTAAGAAGTCCCAGGAAAACTCCAAATAAATTCCAGAGACAAATTATATTCTGTGTTTTATGTTAGGAAAACAGGACAAATATCAGCTATTTCTGGCAGAAGATGGATTTGTGTAAATGCATTTACTGTAATTAATTAAGAATTCTGACATACAATTAATTATGGTCTCTCTATTGTTAAAATACCTGACAATGACAACAAGGTCCACTTTTAAAGGTTAACCACTTTAAAAGATGGGGAAAAAAGGATTTTTAAAGGATTTAAAAGGATTCCTTGCAAAGGAATCTAGGAAGGAGCAGCTCTCTGTCCCGAATTATTTCATGCTTAAAAACCACCACAACAACAACAGCAGAAAAGAACCAAAAACACACAAGAAGTAAAACAAACCCAGCCTGAAATCAGAAGGATGAGATGAGGAGGAGGAAAAGCAGCAGGACACAGGAGGGCTGGGGAGGAAGCTGAAGTCGCTAATTAGCAGCAGGGATTTGATTTTAATTCACCACTAATCCAGCTGCACTCAAAGCTCTCGGGGCAGCCAAACTACAGAACAACCCTGGGATATTTTCCCCTGTGGAATTCAGTCCTGCAGATGAAATCACAGTTCCTGTGGAATCCCAGGGAACCACGAATATTTCTGTGTCTGCTCTGGGGTGTCCTGACCCCCAGGGCAGCTCTGACTTTGACCCTCATTCATGGAGAAAACTTCCAAAGCCTCAAGATAAACCAGAAACCACAAAAGTGTGAAATACACTGAAGAGATTGTAAAGAGTATGTCATATGGGTGAGAAATTTAGCTTTTAGGGTGTTATAGATGGATACAAGATGGAGGATACAGGGTGTTGTCTTGAGTTCCCTTCTTTTTTCTTTGTCCTCTTTCTTCTTGGGTTTGGGTGGTATCTTGTAATTGGGCAGAAAAATCCGCCCACCTGAGAATTCCAAGTTTGCTCCAGTGTGCAGCTGGAAAAAACTCCTACTTTGCTACTACTGCCTTGTGTACCTTCATCCCAGCAAAAATAGGATCTAAAAAATCAGCTTCCAGTATCAAACAGGACAGATTTCCACACACAAAATCCAACATACCCAGGACACCACTCTTCCATTGAAGCAAGGGAGCTTTGCATTGTCATCTGAGATCTCTTCCTTCACCACCCTGGAAAACAAAAAAAAAAAAACAACCAAAGGAAGAAAATCAGGAATTTGAAATCACATCAGATCACAATGGACAGTGTTTTTATCATATTGTCCAGGAAAAATACATTTTTTTTATTAAAATGTGGGTGTCAGCAGGTGCTCTATGCTTAAAGAATATGGGATTGTGAGAATAGAGGAAATAAATGAAAATAAAGGGTAGAACAGCAACTTTCCAGACAACCACCCCAAAGTGGGAGGCACTAAAGTAATTTCAAGAATTTCTCATTTTGGAGTCTGCCCAGAGCTCTGGGTCTGACGGGAACTAAAATCCCCCTGTGCTGAAATCCCCTCTGTGTCAGAGATCACACATTTGTACCAAAAATCACATTTCTGGCCTCAAATTCACTGCTGAACAGAGACAAATTTGCTTTTGACAATCTGAAGCCTGAAGTCTCATCAAACTCCACCAAAATGTGTGGATCCACAAGCACATTTTCCTTTATTTATGTTTTTGTCTTGTTGCTGGGTGAAGAAAAACCACAATAACCACAAAGCAACTCACTGGGTATAAAACACTGTCGTGTTGAGGAGGGGCTGGCTAGGAGGGAGAACAGAGCAAATTGAGTTTATTTTGAAAAATTACAAATAAATAACTCCACCACTAATGCCTGCATTCCCACACATTTTAAGGAATGAGCACTTTTTTTTTTTCTCCATATTTATTTGCATTGTTAATGGCTGGCAGGGCAAAATTAGGCAATGTTCACCTTTTTTTTTTTCTATTATTGGAAAGAAAAACATCGTAAAATATTCACTTAATTCCTAAACCATCTGTCCTCCCTTCATCTTTTGGCAGCAGGGATCAGATCATATGATTGATTCAATTTTTTAGGTATTTATCCTCAGACTCCAAGGAGCAAACTCTACTAAAAGCAGAAAGTCAGGGCTTTAAAAACCTCTGACAATTCAGACAAGCTCTCAGACCTGTAATTCTGGAGCTGCAAACTCTGGATTTCAACACTCTCCTGGATCTGGAATCTTTTGTCCTGCAGGGAACACTCACTCAGCAGAGCTCCAGCTGCTGGATCAGCAGAGAAAGGTGCTGCAAGAATTTTATCTGCAGGTTTGAAAGGGCAGGACCTGCAGGAAATGACATTTAGGGCACCCCAGAAATGCCAGGTGAGAATTTCTGCACCCAGCAAAAACATAAACAGAATTTTTGCACATAGAAAAAAATCATACATAGAATTTCTGCTCCCAGCAAAAATCACACACAGAACAGAAAACCTAAAACTCAAGGTGTGCTTATCCCCATCCAATTCCTGTAGGATTGTTGTGCCTTCAGTACCATGTGAAAAGATCCTGATAACATGAATATAAAACTAAAAGCTGCACACCAAAGCAGAACAGAAAAACCACAGGTATCATTTTATCCCATTCCTGTAGGATTTTGTCTCTACCACCCTGTGAAAAGACCCTAACACTTAAAATCAAATTAAAAGCAGCACCCCAAAGCAGAACAGAAAACCTAAAACCCAAGGTATCAGTTTATCCCCATCCCATTCCTGCAGGATTGTTTTCTCTCTACCACCCTGTGAAAAAGTCCTAATAGCATTAAAATAAAGCTAAAAGCTGCACCTCAAAGCAGAACAGAAAAACCCACAGGTATCCCTTTATCCCCATCCCATTCCTGTAGGATTGTTTTGCCTTCAGCACCATGTGAAAAGACCCTGGTAACATTAATAGAAAGCCAAAAGCTGCACCCCAGAAGAGAACAGAAAACCTAAAACCCCAAATTTTCAGCTTGCTCAGCCTCTGCTGCAGCTGAAGGGAACAACTTCCAGATCTGCTGCAACTTGAAACTACCAAATATAGCCCTGAGCTATGGGGAAAGGGAATGGCAGGCTGGGAGAGAGCAGCAGCCAAGAACATCCAGGACAGCAGCAGCCACTGGTGGTGAAATTGGCTAAAAGTCATACAAAAATGGCTAAAAATTGTACAAAAATGGCTAAAAATTGTACAAATTTGGAGTACAGAGGCTAAAAATGGCTAAAAGTCGTACAAAAATGGCTAAAAATTGTACAAACTTGGAGTAAAGAGGCTAAAAATGGTTTAAAATGCAGAAAAACCTCCATGCAGAAAATATCTTTTAATTCATCCTTCAAATGCATCTACCAGGTGGAAGGAAGGTAAAATAACACAGGGAGCAGCAAACAAACACTGGCCACAAAAGTGATATTTCCAGGTCCCCACTGCCCCACATTTGCCCCTTGGAATGGAGAGCACAGCACACCCATAATTTAGAGATTTTTTCAGTATTTTCAATATTCAGTATTCTTCACAGACTTGTGGCATCTCCCTGTTTGCTGCACTCCATGCACAAAATATCTTTTAATTCATCCTTCAAATGCATCTACCAGGGGGAAGGAAGGTAAAAACACAGCCAAGGTCACATCAGAGACAGACCATGAAAATACCCCACTTTTTACCCCAAACACCTGCTCTACCCCACCAGCAAAGCCCCCAGATGCATGAATATCTGAAAAAAAAATTTAAAATATGAGGAAATGTAGGTAAGGGAGGAGGGAACAGCTCCACAATCTCACATCCTCTGCTTTATTTGACTTTGAGGAGATTTAAGCACTAATTACCAAATGAAACAATCAGTGCTGCTGGCAGCCCCTCCTTCCTCTGCCTTCCTGGAATTGTCTGTGGATCCTCTGGCTCTCCCACCACGCTGCCTGCATGTTGTCTTGATTTTTAGAAGCATTAAGTTTTGTTTTATAGTTCTTCTGGAAGTTTTAAAGGTCTCATAAAACTTCTTTAGCCTTCTGACAATGTTTACATATTTGAGAGTCAGAATTCCCACATGATAAATAGAATAGTTTACACATTTCTCTGTTGGTGGAGAGAAATGATTGATTGATCTTTGGAGCAGTGTGGTTGGAGAGGTGCTAATTCCATCCTCCAATCCACTGTCACCTTTGGAATTCTATAAATACCAAATGTTTGAATAAATCTGGGTTGTTTCTTTTTTCTTTTGAACTTACCAAACTTCTGTGTGCTCATTTCATGTCCAACAGCGACACCTGCACAAGGAGGTTGTGGCAGGCACATTCTTGTTTCTCTCGGGATTTTTTCATAGCACAGAGGGAAGAAAGAGAAAACAATTTCTATTTCTGCTCCTTGTTTTCCCATGTGGAATGTGTGTGGAGAATTGTTTTCCTGGGGTGATGCTTGGTTGGGTTCTGGTGAGGTTTGTTTGAGCTGGTGGCCAATCCAACCTACCTGGGGCTGGACTCTCAGAGAGGGTCACGAGTTTTGAGTTAGATAAAATAGGTTTGTAGTTTTAGTGTCTCCTTTAAATAGTATATTAATATATTATAGCATAGTTATAATAAAGAATCATTCAGCCTTCTGGAGTTAAACATCAGCATTTCTTTCCACACTTATTTTGTGCCCTTCCCAAAGGCTCACCTCACACCTCACCTGGACCTGCCGACCCTCCCAGCATCCTGAATTTTTGTTTCCTTCCAGAGAGGATTTCAGCCAGAAAACTGAGGATTGTTGAGGCTCAGCCTCGCTTAACCCCCCTGCCAAGAATAATTCCTGTGACTGCACACAAACTGGGATACACCTGATTGCAGGTAAAGCCCACAAACCTCTAATGCTCTGATTCATAAGCACTAAGATAATTGCTAATTAAGCCCTGGTTTGATAATTCTGTGCTCTGATTGCATCATGCATGCCTAGCACAGACTACATTCTCCACGATTAGCTGGGTGATTTTTCATTCCACTCGTAATAAATAAGGTTAACAAGGAAATTCTCCTTTCCTCCACGGGAAATAAGTGCAGAAATGCAGGGTAGAGATGGATTTATTCCAGGTTAACCATGACACAAACAGAGCATATTAAGTTTGGTGAGTTCAAAAGAGGAAAAGACCCAGATTTATTCCAACATTTGGTATTTACAGAATTCCAAAGGTGACCGTGGGTTGGAGGATGGAATTACCAAACCTCTCCAGCCACACTGCTCCAAAGATCAATCAATCATTTCTCTCCACCCACAGAGAAATGTGTAAACTATTCTATTTATACATGAAATTGTGTAGGAACTGTGACTCTCAAATATTTAAACATTGTCAGAAGGCTAAAGAAGTTTTATGAGAATTTTAAAACTTTCAAAAGAACTATAAAAGAAAACTTAACCCTTTTTAAAAATCAGGGGAACAGTTAATGTCCTTGAGCACCAGATTAATCCCATCTTATCACTGGGATCATCATCAAAGCTCTTAATTGTCCTTTACTGATGGGAAAAGGAGGGAGAAGCTTCATTCATGAAAAGGGAGAGAAGTTTTGAAATTAGAAAACTTACAAAATTCTAATTAGATTTATTTTATATATATAAAACTTATGGTTTTATAAGTACATAAGTATAAGTCACATAACATCAATTCAAAGTAAATTGATTTTACTTTATGAAGCAGCAGTTTCCCAAAAAAGCTGTTTCAACTAGGTTTATTTCATATATATACATAAATTATATAATTTGAATATAAAACTATAAGTTACATTTATACTTAATCTGGCATCGAAGGCTGCAGTTTAAAACTATAATATAACTATGTAACTATAATATATTTCTATTTAAATGTAATATATATTATATACTTTCTTTCTATACTTAATCTGGCATTGAAGGCTGCAGCTTAAAATTATAATTAATATAACTAATATAACTATATATAGTTATATTCGATATTTATATATATATAACTATATATAATATATATAACATAATTATATTTATATATTTTTATATTATATATAATATATATTTTATTTCTATACTTAATCTGGGATCAAAGGCTGCAGCTCTACGAACAGTATGGCTGAAGCTGATTAACACTTCAGTGTGAATCTTTAATGAAGAATTCCAAATTCAGGGATTTTCCAGCTGAGGCCACAGCACGGAAAACCTTTAGCACCTTCCCAATGCAGGGACAGGAACAAAAAC